GCGTGGGGCGCGGCCGGCATGGTGGGGAGGGGGGGCGGGACGGGCGCTGCGTCAAGGGGAGGCGGCGGTGCACAGGACCGCCCATGCGGCCCCGACGGCTCCAGCACGCAGCGGCTGCGACCAATGGCGAGCGGCAGTCTACCTCACGGCGGCAAGTGGCAAATACCAGGCGGCATAGATGGCGCGATCATGTACGTATGGCGCAGCGCCGTTCGCACCGGGCCGTGAGCACGCGCAGCGCCGTCGTGCAGCGCCGGCCGCCGCCGCTGCCCCGCACCTGCGCCTCGTTGTAGAAGACCTCGTTGCCCTTCATAAGGATCCTTGCGGCACCCTCCTGAAGCACCTTGCGGCCGTCGGAGGGCCTGCAGGGCAGGGCGCAGGTGCTCAGTATGCGATCGGGTGCTCCGGCCAGCGACCCGAGCCCTCATGCACTCACTCCTGGCCCGATGCCGCCATGGTGGACGTGCTAGGACCAATATGATCCCCCTGTTCGCTGGCGAAGCAAGATAAGTAGCGGGAGTGCGGAGGAAGCTCTCTGAACGGCGATTTGCGAGAGGCGGCTGCGAGCACCAGATGTTTTATGGAAACCCATACCATCGATTGGCAATGTCTGGCGGCCGGATCGTGGCGAAGGGGCTCAATTCAAAGTCAAATCCGGTCTGCAGATGTCACTCCAGTGATCCCATGCGGACATCAGGACCGACACACTGTCATTGTGAAGGAGACATCCCAATAATCACAGCTCAAATCAGGCCTGCTGTCTCGACCGCTTGGCCACCCAACCACCTCGCTCCTGACGCCCGTCCAGGGCAACCGTCCACCTTGGCGGTGCGTAGAGGAGCTGTATCGGCCATCAGACTGTTGATAACCAACCTGTCGCATATCTGTGGTCAGACACGCGCGACAGAGCTCACTGAGCACGCAAGCAGGACGCGCTGCACCGCTCGCTGCACCTGGCCTCGCCCATCACCCCTCGCCCAACAGCGCCCAATTCCCAGCATGTGCGCGCCATCTCAAGCCCCCCGCCCCGGCCCCTCGCCACCCCTGCGACCTCCTGCCGCCAGCTGCGCAGTGTTGCCGTGACACAATGTGGGGCCTGTCGGGGGTGTGGAGCATTTTGGGTGCGGTTGCCACCCGCAAGCAGCTGCACCACCTGCAGCTGAGCGAGCAGCCCAACATGCCATTCCTGTACTGGCTTGCCGTCCTGGGGGCGATCTTCAAGCCAAAGTGGACCTCCAGCAAGGCTTGGCCGGCGCTCAAGGTGCGCGCGGCGCTGCCCGAGGCCCCGAGGTGGCACGCCGAGGGCCGCCCCGCGTGCCCACGCGCCAGGCGGCGGCGCACAGGGGCGCGCTTATGAGCGGGACCGGCTCATCGCGACGCGCCGCCGGGCGGGGACGGCTTCCTGCCATGGGCTCCTCACGTTGGCCGCACGGGCGGCGCCGCGGGGTTGCAAAACCAGCCCCGCTCCGCTGCAGCTGCAGTTGCGCACAGCAGCAGGGCTTGACATCTCGCGCTCGACCCTGCGGTCCCTCCAGGGGCCGAGAGCCGGTGCCAGCACCGACGCCCCCTCGCCCTCCGGTGACGACCAATGCAAAACCACCACCAACCCCCCACGTGCGCGTGCGCACGACCTGGCGTCGCGACGCGCCCCCGACGCCCCCGCAGGTGTCCCTCTCGACGCCCCGCGTCGCCGACAAGCGGCGCCTCTCCGACTTTCGGAAGCTCGCCGGCTGGGCCAGCACGGGCGCCGGCACGGGCACGGCAGCTGCCGGGCAGCTTCCCATGATGTTCCTCATGGCGGAGGGCTTCAAGCTGGTCATGTCGGTGCTGACGCTGCCGGCGTTCCCGGTGTCGATCCTGGGCACCGTCGTGAATAAGAAAGCGAAATACAGCCTGCTGAGGGGCGTCGGGGAGGGCGAGCGGCTGCTTTACAGGTGAGGCGGCGGCGGGCGGGTGCACAGGCGTGCGCGCGTGTGGGCAGCCGCTGGCCAGCTTGAGCAGGGGTCCCCTGGCCGCAGGCGCCGCAGTCGGACAGTGTATCGGCGGCGCGGGAATCGCG